ACTTGCAATAAAGCATATTAGTTATTTATGCATTCAGTACAAGCCCTGTACAGGCAGTGAAAGTTGGGAGGAGTCGGGGTGGAATCTATAGGGTAAGCACATCTTAGGACAGTCTACTCAAGCAAATGACTGAAATTTGGCAGCATGGCTCTCCCTGGATTCCAGAATCAATACCTCATTGCAATAAGAGGTTCTCACCTTCTAGGCATATTGCTTGAGGCTAACAAGCACCTGTATTAACACTACCGCTGTGGCTTCTAAACACTTTAAATGGGAACAAATCAGCCCGTTTTCATGGCCAAGCCATCATCCTTCTTTTTACTTCCCAAGTTCCTTTGCCTCCCTTCTACTCCTTCCTGTAGCTGGCACCATATTGCCATGTTCTCATGTTTTGAACTACATCCAGAAAAGGACCTAGTGATTAGTTTCATATATTTTTAATCAAAAGAGGGGTTAACTGGCAAAGGAACAAACTACTGGAAACAGAGCAGATATGTGAAGTCAAAACAGCTTCTTTTGGGAACAGCAGTAGCATAAAGGCTGTGATGCCAGGATGTTGTAACATGATCAAGAGTCCTTCCTTGCCAGCAGGAGAGCCAAAATTCTGTCTATAAATTTAAATCCAGCTTGCATGCATTGAGCAAACAACAGCATTATTTCAAGCCTTTGCTAGTCCTGTCTGCTGTGCTCCTCTGACTTTCCATGACAGAAGGAAACACGTGCCTGCATCTCAGTAGTTCCAGTTCTTCCCGATACAAATGCACCATCACTGTGAGGCTGACACCAAAAGAGAGGAAGAGCAAATAGCCTGGGGAGGACAGTCCTAAACCACTGCTGTATTTCTTACCTAGACTGGAATCTCTCATCATACTTAGTATTTTGCATTTCAGGAGGCACTCCCACTGCCCAAGACATTTAAGTTCAGCTCTAGAACAAAACACATACAGAGAAGCCAGCTATTGACTTGGCTGTAACACTCGAAATAGATCAAAGTATGGGAAAAATACAGTAGCCATTCAAGTACGGAGTTGCTTCTCTAGAAAAAGCACACGATAAGAGAGACCGGGCAGCAGTACTGATAGGTTTGTCTGCTCCAACCCCATCACCGAGGTTTATGAACTCATTCACCTTTAGGACTCGGCCATATTCAGCAATTCAGAACACAGGCACTGTTGACTTTACTAATAAGATTATTCCCCTAATGTCTGCGATACTCAGCCATTTAACACAAGGCTGCTATTGGAGATGGCAAGAGCAGGCTAGGAGAGGCTGATTAGAAGTGTATGAAATTACACTACCTGGCAAATAGCGTGCTTTCTTAAAGATTGTACAGGATATTCTACACAACTATTCAGAAGACTAAACACAGCCATAAAAGCTTGCAACAAGCAACTGTTGCCTCATACTTGTTCATTTACATCTCAAGGCTGACAGTGGACCTTACTGCAGAATGACACTGCATGGATGACTGTTAATCTCTAAAGAATGAACATTTTTACAACACAGACTTCATTTTACACTAAGTAAAACCCCCAAATAATCAAACTTCATTTTACACTAAATAAATATGCTGAATAATCAATATTTACTTAACACAAAGAGTATCTGTAAAAACATAAGGCAAGTACATTTGATAAAAATTCCCCTTCGTGGAACTACGCTGCTTTCCTAAATTTAAAGTTCCAGGACACATACTCAGACATAACACCAGACAGTGGAGCAAAGTAGCAGTTGAAAAGCACCCATTTATCAGTCGAATATCTGATAAGGGGTAGGCACAATAGGTACAGGTTTAGCTAGAGGTAAATATTAAAGCAACTGAAAAGATATTTCTAACAGAACGGTAAATGTAACTGTCATTCTAATTTTCTTCTCTTTGCCTATTACAACTGTACAGTGCAGCAAACATTTACGTTTCAGTGTTTGGTCAGTAAGTCTCCTTGATTCCTCCTAAGGTTCCTTAGCCCTTTTCCCACAGTTGCATTCACCTCCCTTGTAAAATAAATAAATAAAGTCTAGCCCTGTTCTCTGAACTTCAGATACCCAAATCAAGGATGTTTTTGTTACCACACCCATTTTTTTTTTAACCTCTCAATGCCCTTTGATCAAGGGGTGTTGCTAGAGCAGTGTAGGAAGAGCTTTGCTACACCTGATAACATCTGCAGCACTAACAGCAGAAACCTGAGCATTCATGCTGACGCAACACTGGCTTTCTGCAAGGTGCAGCAAAACTTTTACAATAATTTTAATCTGTATAAAAACGGACTAAAGAGGCAAAGATTAAAATAAAACCTCTGTTCTAAGAAGTAAACATTTCATGTTCTCCTGTGTGCAAGAAGAAAAAATGCAAAGAAAAAAAAAAGAGGCTGGGATCATTGCAAAACCATTACAGCAAAGGAGTTACTATCCTAATATCTAATAAAATGTGATAAGCATTTTAATATTGTGCACAGTAAGCCTCAACACACGGAGGACATTAGTATTATTACTAAAAAGAAAAAGGAAAAAAAAAAGAAGAGAACACTGATGTTTTCCCTTCTCTTTTCAAGGATGTATTTTCTGTATTCTTACACCGTACTTACCCCTAGAGTATTTTGAGTACATTCTCCTATTGCACGAAGCTGCAGCACAGCTCCACAAATGCTGCCTGTTTTAACTTCTTGGCAGGGAAAAAAGCACATACAGGAATAAGTTTCCTCTAAAGAACTAGCTTAGATCTTCCTAATACATCCATTGCTTTGCTGGAGGTTGAAGGCGGCAAGGTCAAATAAAAGTTCCTTGTATTCAGTGCAAGCAGAAAGGTTTGTTATAGTTCTTAACGTGGAGGAGTTTATTAATTGCAGACTGAACATGTCTCCCACATAGGAGAACGCTCAATGTTCCACCTCACTGAGTGATGCATTTCACCATCATTATGTATAAACTTCCCCTCTTTATGAATATTCAGACTCCAGCAAAGTTGAAGAGGAAATTTGCAACAGTGTAAAACAATTATTTCCAAGTTTATGCTCAAATCCTGCAGAGAACAGTTCTGGGATATAATAAAAGCAATCTAGTTTTATCAAATCACTTCCATTTCACATCAAATCTACAGTCCACGCATTTCACAGAAGCTCACAGTCAAACACAAAGAGAAAGTAAATTCCACAAGTCTCAAGCCTGTTCATGTTTAACCTTCTTTTACAGAAAGATGTTAAGAATGTAGAAATAATCTCTTAACAAACTAAGTAATTTCACTTAAATGCAATGGGCGAGGCTTCCAGGGTTAGTTAGGTAACAGGTGCTTTTTCTTCCAAGAATTCTCTTGCTGCGCACCCTGAACTAACATTTGCAATAATCAAAATGTACCTTGCACAAGAGGTTTGAAAAAAGCTGATTTTATCTTTGTACAAGTTTCTCACAACCACACAAATGACCACCTAGTTACTAAGGAAAGAGGATATATCAGAAGGAGAAAGCGTTTTGGCTCAAACCTCTTCCTCCCCACAAAACCAAGAAGAAGCAATCTACATGTTCCTATGTAAGTTTCCATATTTTAGTGAAAGACAGAAAAGTCAAACATCTTTGAAGAGAACAAACAACTGGCAGATACTCTTACATTCAATCCAAAATGAAGTATTAAAGGTGTTGCTTCTATAGCAGCAACCTGATTCCATAAATGTCAGTTGTCACAGCAAGCACAGTCATCACTTATTTTTTATATTTTGATTAAAGTTATCAGACATAGGAACACTTGCCTTAGAATGAATAAAAAAAGTGAGTAATGGCAAGTATAGCCTCTTTGAGTAATACATTGCAAGATTTCTGTTTTTCAAATGGAATGTCTGCATTGATCAAAAAATCATATCTATTTTAGAGACACTGATGAACAAACTTGTGTTAACATTGTAAGACAACACAATATGGATAGAAAACATTTTAACTGGTAAATGAAGGATTCCAAGTTTCTCCTTTAACAGTATAGCATACTGCAGAAAGCTTTGTAATATACACCACAGCCTTTGCTTCAAGATTTTGCATAGAAGTTTATCACTGGGATATCATTTACTTTTATAAACATGTTATTTTTAGCCATAAGTTGCTAACAGTTTTTCTTCAAGGTAACTGTAAGCCATGGAAGGAATAGTTTAGCATTTAGAAGCCCTGTTACAATTGATCCTTTTGTTCTTTGACAAAAATGCAAATAGACCTTGGGTTAGTGGTGGACTTGGCAGTGTTAGGTTAACAGCTGGACTTGATGATCTCAAGGGTCTTTTCCAACCTAAATGATTCTAGGATTCTATGTTAAATTGTTGAATCTATACTGTTTTCCATCACTGTATGTTAAAGCTTAAGTTTATTATCTGATTTTTCTAATTATTCTATTATCAAATTTAAGTTGCAGCCAACTTAACTCCATTATGTCATTATATCTGCAAACAATTTAAAACATTACCAATATGATACGCCAATTAAGTTTGAAATATTAATAACAGTATTCTGCCTTATTTTTAATTCTTTTCAGAGCAATACCTACTCAGTCTTTAAAATCACTGTTGAACACTCAGTGTGTGGCTGAACAGAAATAGCGTAAAGCTAACCGCTACCTCAAGGGTTACTGATGCAACTAATAACAGAGATTTAAGTTACCTTCTCCCCAAAATCATCCAGAACAGGATTCCAAAACATTCCCTTTCTTCTGCCCCCTGCACTTCAAAATAAACGGTATTTTTATTCTGAGTGAGATTTTTCATTACTTAATGGCTGTGCAAATAGAGAATTTGTCTTTTATACCTTCCTTTTCCAAGAGACTGAATGTTTGCAGGGCAGTGAGTGTTTTCAGAGAAGAAATTTACTATGTACAGCCTTTCAAGTTTTAAATATAAATCAACGAAAAATCGAGGCACTCAATGTAGTTACATATGAGCAAAAAAATTATATTACTGAGAACAGTGAGCCCAAATCACAAAGCAAGATTATCAGCAATTGTGCAACTGGGAATAAGGTGAAATCTCATTCTTTTACAGCTTTGGCTTGAACGTGCCAGAAAGAAGCTTTTTAAGCATTTCAGTGTTTCTTCCTTCCGGTGGTGAGGGCCACCTGTCGTGATCTGAGGAAAACAAATAAAACAATGTATTTAGTTGACTGAGAAACCAGACGTTTTATTTTTGTGTCCTCCCATTGCCCAACTTCAGTCACTTGAAGGATGTTATTTTGTAGCCCGTTCTTACCAGGTATTTCTAGGGTATGGCCATATAAACTTAGGCCACCATCCACAACCAGGGTTATCCCAGTTATGTAAGAAGCAGCTGGAGACAGTAGGAAACACACTGCAGGAGAGATCTAGCAAAAGAATGAAAATTTTAATCTTTCTTAAACTGCTGGGAACTGCTCACGTCAAAGATGCTTGTAAAAACTTTTACAGGCAAGACACAGCAATGTTTTCTGTTCAGTAATGAAAACCGTAACAGACTTAAAGCCATTTTTCCAGCCACACACATCAAGTACATAACAAATTAAAACCAGTAAGCTCTCAAAGATCAGCATCAGATGCTGAAAATAAAACAGAAAAGTTGACCACTTTATCAAAGACGCACATTCTTGATGGAAGAGAGCTAAGTACTTTTAAGAAACACTTTTTTCCACATTAATATTCATTCTTTCAGTCCTCCCTGCTGGAAGTCAACCTTTTCAGGAACTAATGTCTACTATGAAACAAACACTTAAGCTGTAAGAGGCATCTAAATTAAATTTTCAGTGTAACAGTGACTACAGGTTAAGTCTCCCACTTGGCACTACTACACATTACTACAAGCTTTTTTTTCTTAATATTCCATTACAGTGCAAAATTAAGTTGTTACTGTTCTCCATATAATAAAGTGCTTGAAAATAGACACACAGAAGTAGAAATATCACAGATGTTCTGAAGTACATTACCTCCTCAGGAACTGCTGACCTCTTGGCAGGAATCTTTGGTATGCTCTTTAACCACATCATCGTACCTTGTTCTCCATAGTTCGCAACAGCAGTTTCTGAAAATACTATTCCCTATTTTAAAACAGCATAATGAAAATTAAGTTCTCTTGCATATATTTAAACTGTGATCATTATAAAGCTGTGAAGTTGTAATTACTGGGATTTTCTGTGGGATTAAACTATCTGTCTACGTCGAGCCTGTATCCGGGGCTAAACAACAGCCCGTTGTTCTACTACCCAATGACCCTTTCCCACTTGAGGAGGAGAATTGAGAAAAGGCAGGAAGACCTATGGGTTGAGATAAGAACTTTTAATAATTGAAATAAAATAAAATAAAATTAAATTAAAACCAATAATTATAACAATAATTATATATACAGATAAGTGATGTACGGTGCAACAGCACCCCTTGACCAATGTCCAGCCTGTTCCCAACCAGCAATCCCAGAGCAGGAAAGTCCCAAAACCACAATCCCAGAAGAGAGAGAGAGTTGGCCTCGGGAGCAGAACAACAGGTAAGACCCTCCAGGGATGGCGACCATTGAGAAAGAGAGACTGTCCCCAACAAACTTTCTGATTTATGGTGAGCATGACGTTACATGGTATGGAATACCCATTTGCCATTTCAGGTATCAATCACTCTGACCACGCTCCCCCACGTTCTTGTTCATCTGGGTCGTTAGCAAAAACAAGCTGCAAAGTCCTCGATCACTATGGATACCTGCATACCATGGCTGGCTACAAACTAAACCAAAGTGACTTACCAACTTTGTTCTCAACGAATCGAGTGCTGCAGTCTTCTTAAAAACGCAGCTTACTTTAGAAATGTAGCTTCTCTGAACAAAACATTGGTTCCATGATTCTGTCCCAGTGAAACCAGGACACTAAGCAATGCTTGAATGCAAGGTCTTAAATTGAATGGAATAGCATAGTTTATACAAGAAGGTATTTGGCTGCCAGCCACATCTCTGTTCAAGTGCAATAATTCAGATTATTCCAACTCTCCACTGTCACTTCAATAACTATACAGGGGAGAGTACAAAGAAGAAACTCAGAGACTATTTTGAAATTACAAGCATTTCGTATTAGCTTACAGCAGAAAACCAGGAAGCCCCAAGAACAAGTTCTCAACATTTTCTTGTAATCTGTAAGAACGCTAGATTTGACTTTATTGTGCATTATGGAAGTAGACAGATTTCACAGTCTAGAAAAAGGTGTCTTTGCTCTGATCATTATACAGTCCAGTTTAGACTTGAGAGGGAAGATGAAGGCTACAGCAATGGGAATACAGGGTTACATAGATTAGTTATGACAGAACCTTTGGGACTCAAGATTAAGTAAGATAACAAAATTTGAATTCGTCCATGGAATACATGCTAAGATTTCTCTCCTAAGATATCTGAGAAATGTGAGTGACTATATTTTGGGAGCTAGGGAAGTAACTTATATGTGAATATTTTTTTTTAGAATTCATGTTCCCCTTTCTGTGTACCCATATCCTATACGTTGCTCGGCTCCTATAATGCAGTAACAGTTTTGTATGGTTACCACAGACCCAGTGTGTCCGTAAAGGTGACAGAAGGATATAAAGTATTACTGTAACTACAACATGGATTTTTGTAACCAGCATAGTAACAAAGCTAGCAAATACTTCTGAAAGAGCCAAACCACTGAAGTGCTTGCTTGTCAAAAACTTATTTTGACATGTGCTATAAAGTATAATTAGTATGATTCATTAGGTAATTACCATGCCTGAAAAATATATTCACATAATGCTGCTGTCTTAATTACTTACTTCCCCAAGACTTGACAAATCAGAAAAAACAAATAAACAGGAAAAACAAACCAGTAGGTCTTCATATTTAAGAAGTCTCCAGATGAGTTGGGCCTCACAGAGGCTACATAAGAGCCACTGCCTGAATAATCACCACACATCTGCCATTAAGCATTCTGTCCTATGGCAAAGAAAGCGAGCCAGATGCTTTAGGACAACAGGCATAACAGGATGTAGACATCCTACAAAGACAGTAAAAACCCTTCCTAGGGACCAGTTAAACAAATCTGACACTTAACTATACTGTGAGATAAGAGACATTCTGAATGTAGAAGTAGCTGGTCAAAGTTTACCTTTCTTCTTTCGTTTTCAAAGGAGTAAATGTGCAAAATAAATTGTGGTTAAGAGTGAAGATTACACAAATCACAACAGATCACACCATCTCAAATGTCAAAGCTAAGGCTTCTAGATAACCTCTATATCTGCAGCACCATGCACTAGAAAATACATCTGCTCTTTCCATACAGTTATTAAAAACCACGGCTACACGCTACCTACTTCCTCAGAAATGTGGCAGGCATATTTTAGCTGACCTGTATAGTGGTTTCCTGTTTGCATATATCTGATAAGAAAAAAAAAATCAGAACACGTTTTTACATATAATTTCTTTGAGAGAAAGTCCACTCCAAATACAGTCTTTTTATGCCTAAAACTAATCTCACTTAACATATAGAAGACAAAGTAAAAGACGTTACGTAACACATTCAGAGATTTTCTAAAGAGGTTCGTAAACACAGGTGGAAACCATCAGCATACCTGAACCTCAAACACAAAACAGTTTTGTGAACTCAGAAATAACGTAATCATTAGTGAAACACAAGACATTCAGTAATTTTATGACAAGGATTTGTAAGACAGGTCATCAACTCCTCCCAGGTATCGTTTCATTAAGCTAGAAAAAATTCAAAGAGTGCCAAGCAAGAAAGCAGATGCAATTTTATCCTGTATCTTTGGCTTGTCACCCAAACGAGTACCAAACACTCTCAAATGACCTGAAATTATAAATCAATAAATAATCCACAACCCGTCACAGGCTATAGATTTTGAAATCCCTTTTGGTCTGAAAGTTTTAACAATGAACACGTATGATGGCTAAGTTTAACCAGAGTGTTTGCCATTACTCACAGGAGCAACGTTGTTGATTCTCACTCCACTGTGGGCCCACTCTAAAGCTAAAGTCTTGGTCAGGTTATCCACTGCAGCTCTGGCAGCTCCTGAGTGCCTGTTGAGAAAAGAAAGCAAAAGAAGCGTCTGTTCCCTCAGCTAACAGTGCCCAATGTTGTTAGCACTACCGCAGCCTCACTAAGGTAGTCAGAGCAGCTTCCTGTGCTGAACCAACCATCTGAGAGACAGAGAGATCTTCTAGTTTGTAAGTTTGACCATAGCTTCGCAATTTAAACAAGCTATGCTATGAGTTCCTGTCATTTCTGGAAATACTTATCACCTCTTCTCCAATGTGACAGGAGGTCAGCTACATTCTACTGCAGAAGCAGGCTTATAAAACAAAAAGCAACTGGAGGCAAAGTTCAAACTGTGTAAAACTATGAAAGGCAGGCTGCACAAGTAAACACTCAGAAGGACAATGGTCTGAAAAATAGTTCAGATCTTCTGACAAACTTAAAATATTTATTTCACTATTCAAAAATTACTATAGGTGGATGGAGCCAGAGAAGACCATAGGCAGAGTAATCTCATACACCTTGCTGCTATAGGCAACTAGTCTGAAATGATTACAAGCTTGAACAAATGCAGATAAAATTACTGCAGGGATGGATAGCAGACAGTGGGACTCTGAAAAAACTAATAGAGTTTAGTTCCTTTAGCCTAGAAAAACAGACTTAGAGAAGACAGGTAAAATAGCTTCTCAAATATCAGGAAAGGAATAAGAAAAACTTAAGAAAAACATAAGAAACCCCAACTTATTTATATGTTTAGGCCAGAAATAAATAACCTTCAGGCACACTACAAGCAAACAAACTTGACTCGTTTTATGTTCAAAATTAATACTTATGGAAAACTGTATCAGATGAATAAGTGGTGGCTGGACTTGTAAAGGCAAGTCTTTTTCAACAGTGCATTTCTAAAACAGGTATCAATTCAACAGGAATTTAATTTGAAAGTAGTTTTGTCTATCCATTTAGGTCCATGCACAACAGTTACTTGGGAAATTTTTTTCCACTATTAATCGGAATTAGGTTTTTTATCTCTTGGTACGACTCAAATACAGCTGCTGCCTGTTTGCGGTGACAATTCAACCAGACTTAACCAGAGTGGAGAAACTCAGATAACTGTAGCTTCAGCACCACCCTGTGGATCTCTAAGTTTATTTTGTACTGCCAAGAACAAGCCGGTGAGAAAATATTCTGCTGTTCCCTAAAAATTTTAAATTTTGGAAACTTTCAACTTCTAATCAAGACAAAGAGAGGCAATATAACATTTGCATAAACTATATTCTTATATTTTCTTAAATAAAAATTCAATTTCAAAGCTAAAAAAAAGATAGTTTCAAAGAAGAAATTAAATTTCTTACAATTAAGAAAGTGTCAAAATGCAGCATTTTGACAACTTCAAAATTTCCTTTGACAAAAAATAACTGAGGCAATTAATTTTCTGAGCATTATTTCTCTTTCAATAAATTGGAATTTTTTGGTGGAAAAGTTTCAAATCTGAAGACATCTGCTCACCTCCATTTTGAGGATAAACAAATGTGAACAAACACAGCACATGTATGGATATGGAGAGGATGCTGCATTTTCATGCAGACAGCTGTGATCATCTGTGTCAGTATAAAAGAACTACAAACATGATAATATGTTTGTACTCATGAGCCTTCTCCCAGTCAAGAAAGGAGCAGAGCAAACAGAACTGATACTCTACCTCAGAGACCTTCTCCAAGAAAGATGGCTACAACAGGAAAATGGGGGAGATAGGCATTATATGACCCAAAGGACAAAGCCAAAACCTGAGAACATACTAGAAACGTTCCTCCTACTCCATTACTCCCAGTCCAACTCGCATAACTCATTACACCATCAAGACCTGAAAACTAACAGTAGAAGAGGAAAACAACGTGTGCCAAGTTCTTGCAAATCTCCAGAAATTTGGAGAGAGAACAAGTAAAGGTCACACTTCAGTGTAACTAGTCCCACTAGCGCACCGTTTCCAGTGAAAGCTTCACTGTCAAGTCTTGCTTCATAGCTTTGTACAAACAAGTTGACAGAGACCAGAGATGTCACTTACTCTGGTAGTCTCTACTGAATTAATAAAAGATCCCCACACACATTGTCAAGCTCTCTCTTGACCTAAGCACTGTATTTCTATGCTCTGCTGCTGTCCAGTGCACACCTTTCTAAAACAAAGCATTTAGGAGCAATTAGTACCTCTAGGGGAAAAAATATAGGAAAACGTAAAAATAAAATATGTATTACGACATTCCAGGAAACCCATTTCTCATGGCAGCAGTAATGTTGACAATGACTCCTCCATGTTCCCGCATCCAGGCATTGTACACTGTATGAAGGAGGAAGATAATCTATAAATACCAGAAGAAATGTACACAAACGAACTTGCCAACTGGAAGCCAAATTTGGACCCTCAACTCCAGTTACACTACAAATCTCCTATGTGGATTTAGGTAAACAATCTGCTCTTTGTACCACAGCCTCACCGCTGGATGGGTGAGATAAGAGGTGTGGTCCAGGTAAGGCTCAATGTTTGTCAAGAGACCTTTTGGTGGAAATCAAGATTTCATGCTTTCTCGTAAATTACTTTCATTCCACATTCCCAATGCTATCTGAAAATCACATATCATACTTATATTTAAGTTTAAATTTACATTCCTGATGAAAGAGAAATCTTTTCTTATGTAATATACAGTGAATACAGGCCACAGAAGTTAAGTAGTTTTCCTATAGTCTTTAAAGTGACTATCCAAGCCAACTGACTCCCCAAACCTGGCCTTAACCAGAAGATCACACTTTCCTAAATGTATGTTTGTATATATGAGTAGACGTAATGTATAGTTTAATGTAAAGCTTTGGATGAGATTCATGAAAACAAACATTCACTGTCAGATAAGTGTGTGAAAAAAGAAGGTAGGGAAACTTTACTTTTCTTGTCTTCTGGTACTGCTGTAAAAAAAACCAAATAAACAAAAATAGCTTAATGTTCAGCCCTTACCTGCTTTGCAGCAGTAGAAGGTCCCTGTCAGATTCGTGTCTATCACAGCATTCCAGCCTTTTGCACGGATGTCTTGAGAAAGACTTGCAAATTGGCCCCCTCCATTATTCACCAGAAAGTCAATCTTCCCATGCAGACTCAGTGTAGACTTCACCAAAGCTTCTACCTGAAACAATATTTGTTAGTGTGGTATGCTGGTTAAGCTATATACACAATTTCATTCTCAGACAGCATTTTCTCTCTCCTTTGTGTGTGAAAAGGACAGAGGAAGCACCAGCCTTCAGAGAGGCTGGAAGATCAGTATGACAGGTTTAGTCAGTCAAGAAGAATTGGGCTGAGTCCATGTTTACTTAGGAAATCTCCCTCATATAATGCAGGAGCTACATAAAATATCAACACTGAAAGAGGGGGATTTAAGCCGCTGAAGGTTTGTAAAAACAAACACACACAAAAGCTTGCTGCTTAAGACCTACTTAGAATCTCCTGATATTTTTCACAAGAGTGGGGGTGTTCACATCAGATGCTGGAAGAGCTCCATACAAGGTAGATAGTTTTTTTCATCTGACCCACATACCTGAGCATTTTAAATAGAAGACATAAGTCATCTTGTGAAGTTTTAACATTCTTATCTAGAAGTTTTATACATTCACTAAAGCTCTGACATACAAGTTGGCAACAGCCAATCTTCTTACGCAGACCAAGAAGGTTAGTTTGTCACTCTATAAAACACGAACTCTAAAAAGTGCTGGAAATACTACAAGTTGTCTTCTTTAGTAAAAGAAAGGTGAATATTTATCTAAGCAGATTCCTTCTGTCTATAAGCAGGATGAGTACTTACGATTAAAAGCTCTGTCTGGCACTATTTACCTTTGGTTACTGAGAAGGTATTAACAGCAAATAGCAACAGACATTTTATTCACTCACTGAAAGAGCTGTCAGTGCAGAAAAGGAGTGGTTTACTTTCATATGGAAGGAAAGAGATTTTGAGAATCTAAACCTAGCTCTAACACTGACCTAATCTGAGCTACAGGCTGTAAGCTAAGCCTTTTGCACTGTCTTCTGTTTTGGAAGTACAGCAGTTTCACCACGCACTCGCACTAAACACAAGAGAGCTTCTGGAGAGGAATGTATTTCAAAGCATTTGAAGATTTTAGATACAAAAGCTGATGTATTTTTCCTGTTACAAGACAGTAAAAAGAATATACAGCAACTGCTTAATAATTTAACCTTTATCTCAAGAAATGGGAAATGGGACAACATGACTGTTTCCTGCTTACATTACCTATCATAACTAGATACCACACATCAGTTATTCCTACTCAAGCATATATAAAGTTAATCCAGCATCTGTGGTGAAAGAAAACTCAGACCAAAAAAGCCAAACAACAAATAGCAGGAGTTATGCTGCTGCTGAAGCAGATTTGACTAGGGGAAGGACATCAATCAACCTTCCTCTGCATTGAGTTAGCAGTAGAAAACATCAGAACTAAAAGAACAAGCAATGCATGATCTGTATCTCACCAAAAGTGTCACCAACTCAGTCTCATAAATAGCTGCCTCGCAGTTTTTGCTGCTAACAGTTCACAGGATGGTTTAACAGGATAGTATGGATCCTGTAAGGATGCACCTCTCTGAAGAAGAAAACCTAAACAAACATAGTGACCGAAGCCTGATTGAAAAACTAATGCCTGTTGAGAAAAAGTGCCTTAAGAAAATAATTTTGATATCTAAATTGCCATCTTTAAGTTCTCAATGTCATCCTATTCCTCACATCAGTCACTGCAGCTTGTGGGATCTGAGGGAAAAAAAACACCAAAAACTCAAAACATCTGTGACAGCAATCTCAAACTCGTAACTTGTGAGAACCACCACACCAGAAATACTTCCAGGTTTGCTCACAACTAGAGAAAAGTAAGTTATGATTTACTAGGCTGCAAAACTTATGCTTTGCTCAGCAATGTCAAACTCTTCTCCCTGTCAGCCTGAGAATCTTGCTTTGAATATTGTTTTCCATAAGTCACTGAAGTACAAGCTCATTCATGGAAGAGAAATGGTTTCAGTACAAGGAAGGTTTGAACAAACTAAGGCTAGTGAGGCTGGCGGGGAGTGGGGGAAGAGAGAGAGAAAAGACAAAATGCTCAGAATCGTAAAAAAACCCAACCAATGACAAATTAACAGAAGAAAAATCCATTCAGAAGAGACATTACAAGCAAGCTTTCAACAGGTGGACAAAATCTGCTATGACATTTCAATTCAAAATGGTTCACATGTTGTATCTTAGGAAACTGTTGCTCCTACTTGTTGTACCATATTCTCAGGGCAACAACAACAACAAAAAAAAACAATAAATGCTTTCCGAAATCCAGCAAAGGCTAGCAAGCTCTCCAGTGACAGGACAGCTCAGATGGGTCCAACTGTAGCAACCTTCACAATGTCTTCTGTGTTGTAGAGAAAGGGTCGTTGCAGTGCTTCTCCTAATTACAGTAAACATGGTGACAGCAGCCATCAGCACAGTGGGAAAGAGGGTCTGGTAGAACATGTTTAAATCACAGTGAGAACTAAGTAAGATTCCTTTCAATTCCTAAATATTCAAAATCCACACAGAAAATATTTCATAAAAAAAGCTACTAAAGACTCTCTCTAGAAGTAATGCAAAACTGCACAAGGTAGAGCTAAAAGTTTAGGACATTCTTCTGAAAAACACCAAAAAGAACAAAATCAGGCACTTCAGACATAACCAGAACACTGGAGCTCTTCAATAAGGACGTTTTTTGTGTGACTGCAACTCAAAGTGTTATGCAGTAGCACACTCTCGTAGATAACTGAGATGACAGTGCTTGCTGACACATAGAAAAGGGAAAAATGTCCACAGGCATTCCCAGGTCACCTTGAACTTGAGTAACACTCAACAGGTAAACTACCCACTATGGAGTGTTAGCAGGCACGGTCTTCCACTACAGGCTTCACACAGATTGGCATTAAGTATTTATAAACCAATTCAAACTATGCTAAGCCACAAAGTTTATTGGAAAAAAAAAAGCTACTAGTGAACTCAGGTACAAGGTAAGTGCTAAATAGTACTGCATTGAGTCCATCTCAAGGAGTCGTGCTTGTCAGATGTCCAAGTGTTAGGTTTTACCCTCGGGGTTTGGTCCAGCAGCAGTTGGAGTGCAAGTATGGAAAGGGGACACCGTGCACAGAATTCTGAATTCCTGATTTCAAGAAGAGCAGTGGCCTACTGGAAGTACAAGTTTCATCTTCCACTTACCTAGATACGTCTTCTACTTATCTAGATGCCAGTTAAAGGAATGTTTGTCCAAAGCGTAGAGCACAAAGGCTTTACAAGAGTAAAAAGCTCCTCACATCTTTCCCCCATCAACAGATTTGCTGTACCTCAACATTTAAGATACACAAACACATGCTTCCCCTTCCCAACACCTATAAAGATAAATAGAAAGCTCTTTTCATAATGGAAAAAGGATGAGGTCTGTCTCCTCCACTCCGGCCACTGTTACACTGAGGCACTGGAATTAATTGATTAGATCCTTGGATTTTCGAAAAAGAGCTTTGTTTGAAAAGACACACACACAGAGCTGTCTGGCCTACGTCTCAGCAAGAGCAAACTAACCTGCTCTTGTTATATTCAACACATTATGTGAGCAGTGCTATAAAATATCCAAATAACTAAAATCACTTCAGCTTCATATTCACTAAGAAGCAATACCGATCACTACGTATGCTCCGGAGCACAGGATAAAGGATAGGTGTACAATTACTGCTTCGGGGTAAGGCCCCATGAAGACAACACAGAAACCTCAGGTGCTCGTACTGGTATCCCAGAACCTTCTTCTCTTCCATCTTTAAAAACAAAACAGGTTTGTTTTGTTATCCTTTACAAAACACTCAGTGGAAAACTAGCCAAAAGCCGCAGCAGCAAACTTGCGACAGAAATAAGCTTGACAGGTTAAGCAGTCGTTGAAAACCCTCCATCAAGCAAGATTATTTCTAGCACATTAAACAAAAAGTAAGCTTTGCTAGAAAGAAGAGGGCCTCTGAGGATGAAGATTAAGAGACTTAAAAGTGTGAATTCATTAAGTTGTTCCCATGATATCTGCCATCAAGCTTCTGCAGCAATTAATTCACTGTACCTTCTTTGACTCCTCCTAGGCCAGAAAGCTCTAACAAACACATTGCACCATATGATGAGGGATGAATCTTCTAATGCTTGAATTTCACAGACCCAAACTAGGGCATACAAGAGAATGAGCTGTGTCATCTTCAAAGCAGGTCAGTTACTTTAAGATTTGAAATAGGAAAAAAAAAAATCATTTGGCAATTTTGAAAGTACTTTCATCTTCCTTAGATCTCCTCTATTCAAAGTCCCTCCCTCCAATTTGCCTATTTATAAAATTAAAACCAGAACTAAATTCATAGGGGTGTTTAGAGAAATGCAGAACAACTGATGGAGGGATGGGAAAAAAAATAAGCACACTACAGTAAGAACAGATGGCTTGTTCCTACAGGTGATCACGGTGGCTTCCTTTAAGAGAAAGATACACTCTTAGAAAGGTTTCCGTGAGATGTCAAAGAGAAGGATACACCAAACAAATTATGTAGTTCTTCAGGAAGCTTCCCGGGCTTTGTAGCTGTGATGAATCACTTCTGACACCTAAGGAGGTTTAAACTCCTAAGTTTTTTCCCTTGTTGAAACATTTATAAGCTCTTTCTCCTTCACACATTCTTTGGTATCTGGTATAAGAGCTGAAAAACGGGATGTAATGACTTACAGGGAATACTTGTAGAGGCGGCCCTCTCTACCCAACAACGTGCTTTCATGAGTTTCTGAGGTAAATACTCTTCGCTCATACCAAGCTGAAACCAGACTACCAGTTGTAAAGCTATTAATGCGTAGCATACAGAGCCAACACAGTTGTACAAGTCTTGCTTCTTTCAGGAGGGAAGCCAAAAGTTTAAATGCTCTCTCACCCCATCTTCCACTGTGAACAGGAAGCTACTCCAGTATTTGTGAAAATGCTGAAGTGAGTTACATTGCTGTGTTGCCTCTACTCAAGATTTACCTACTAGACCAGAAAAATCCTTTGCTACATCTTTTACTAATCCCTGTTCCTAAGACTTCAAGTCCCAGGCAATAAATTTTAGGTTAAGAATGGAACAGATTTTGAAAGTGGACGTACAATGTTCTTTGAATAGAAGTAAAAGCACAAAGGTACTTTTCCTCTAGTCTCTGCAAGGTAATCGAGTGCAAATTAGAATTATTCACCATTGCTGCTCTTAGCAAATATAATAAATAAGCAATAGTGAGCAGTGGGTTGTAGAAAATCTGCCACATCCCTCAGTTCTAAGTTCTGACAATTTTTAGCAGTGGAAGCTACTGATTGTTAATTTATCTAGCTTCAACATACAAACAGTAAGCACCTAAGTGTAAGGAAATGCTATCCTCACTACACATTGAAAAGCTGAAAATGTGATCCACACATTTCTGGCCCAATAGTAATTTCAGAAATTAAGTAACAAGTGACTAGGATTTAGCAATCTTTGAGAATCTCAGCATTAATGAACTAACAGAGGAGGACAGAGCCAGAAGAGCAAGGGCTAAAGAACAAAAATCACAGGATATCTCTAACCAGTAAAAATACCTGGTCTTGGAGATGGGCATCTGGAATGGATAAATATTTGTTTAGCAGGTACGCTTAGGTTCTTATGCTAACATGCAACAGAAATTGCATTCCTTATTCAAAACTTCCACAAAACACTTATGAAATTTTCACAGTGATTTTTCTTCTAAATAGGACTTAAACAGAAAGAGGTAAGAGCAGTTGGAGAACTGAAGCGAGTCAAAACATAAGACTGAGCCAATGACTGGAAAAATTCAAGACTGGAGTATCATCTACCTTATTGCTCTGAACCCTCTCTTCAATAGATATGAGTATGAAATGGCAATGGTTTATGAGAACTTCCACTGGCAGGAGACACCTGGTAGAGGCTTCTCCAATACTATATGAAAAGTTCTAAGAAAGTTCTGGTGTGTCAGTAAACGAGTAAAGCTTAAAACTAAACTGGAAAAAAGACAATTCTATGATGAAACTGAAGGATAATAGCAAAGACAGAAGCTTCTCCAAGGATCAACATGGCTACCATGCCTGAGCTCTTTACACAGCAGTATGAAAAAGGCTTTAAAAGCACCTTCAAAAAAGTTTCCAAAGCCATTTAAGACTGTTTTATCAAAAATGTGTTTAGCCACACTTAATGAACAGGAAACAAAGAAGGCATGGTAGTTTGTTAGGTGGAGATTACCTCATTTCCCCATCCAGGCCCTCTACCATCTCGCAGAACTCTGCAGTTCCCACTAAATAATTTTTAAGCTAATGCAGAAATAAGATTCACCTGCAGAAGGTTGAGCATGCCAGAGTACTTTCTGCAAGAACAGTGACGTGAAAAAAGGCTTAAGCCTTTTCTTTCTCTTTACCTCTTTTCTTTTTTTTTCCTGTAGCTTTAATCAAATAAGTTGCCCTCTGACATCTGTCATAACCTATTATATCGCACTGCTGATGCTAGTAAATACAAACCTAAAATTCATTGGTAGGTGAAGTGACATACTGCACAGCCCCAGGGTTCATCTCCTTCAGGAGAGAAGGTCTAAGTATATCACTATAAATATTTTATGACACAAGCTATTCTATGAGTGAAGAATTTCATTTTTTACTTGCTTTGTGGTTGTATATTACGATATTTCCAGAATCTACACAGCTACTGAAGGTCGTTAACTCTTCTTTAAGCTATGCTAGAATTTAACAGAGACTTTCAAAGGTTAAGAAAAAAGTAGCAATTGGAGGTTACTGGAATATTTTCTAGCTATCTTCAATAACTTAAAAGCCCAACCTGATGCTGGACTTTTAAATGTTTAATTATAGAAATTAAAAAACTAGGAGGTGAATGCAGACTTCTGAAGAACCTGGATTAAATACTTTTGCTCTTGGTCTTCCATTTTTTGTAATATGAAGAAAAAAGAAAAAACTCAACTGGGATAGTAATAGGGTTTGTAATGAGGCACGGCTCAAATTGTAACCAAAATTTGAAACGTGGCTAAAAGTTATAAAATCTGTGGCGGTTTTTTGCTTTAATGCAAGCAAAACTGACAATGCAGGGCACTTGTGTCAAGTCACAAGCGTGGAGATTCCATACTATGACTTCCTGCTTGAAGGAACTATTCTGAGGTCTCCATCTTCACAAGCTAACGCCTCCTCACTGCTGTCACAGAAATGTGACAGAGAACCACGCTAAGTGGGCTCCAGCTCAGCTGTAGAACATGCCAGTTCCAAGGCCTGCTTCTCCCAGAAACATCTGAAATACGTATGCATGGTCAGAAAAATATTTAAAATTACAAATGCTTTCTTGCTTAGGTGGCTAACAAATGGTCTTCCTTGAAAAGCACATCTTTACCTAGATCAGTTTAACAGCGCTTTACTGCACGTGTCCCCTGATCTAGGCTACTTTTGAGGGGGCCAGAGAAGACCTTTGGAGATCTGAGAATTTATATACACAATATGCTTTTGACACGTTAAGCCCCAGAATAAGATCACTCGTCTTTACCTCGTCTTCTTTGCGGATATTGCACTGTACAGGAGTCACTTTGGCAGGACTCATGGAAGAAAATGTATTATTTAGTTCTTCCGCAGCAGCTTTTAATCGGTCAAATTTACGAGAGGCAATAACAACACTGCAACCTGCAGAGACAAAATGAAACGTTCTTCAGCTAACACAGTTAAAATTATAGTTATGCTAGTTTTTAATAACGTCATGGAGATATCTTGTGTAGGGTGTGTGTTTATTAGTCACTGACTAGAAGACAGTGTTGAAGTTCTTGCAAAAGAGAGAAATTACTGATGTCAGGTGCTTCTTAGCAACAAGATCCCACTGCGCCAGGAAAAGAACAATCAAAAAAACATCCACAAGGTTCCCTCTCCTTCCTGCAGAAGGGAAGACAGTCTGTGAGTTGCAGAGTCAGCAAAGAAGCTTTCAGACATTGCTTTCGCTGCCTCTGCTCACAGCTGCCTCATTTGTCAGTTATGCGACTTAAAGATGTTTCAGCAGGTCTTGATTACAAAAAAAACGCTCCTAAGACCACAAATATGATCTTACTGTATGTCTGGCTGTAATTTTGACTAGCGGTGAGCAAATGTAATGCTCTGCTTTTTAACCCTACAGTGTCTGAAGGAAAGGATTATAGCCTAACGAGATTAATTCCTATCTGCAGACTGCAGACAGCAGGAACAGAGGCTTCCCTGTGGCACCGCTACATGCTGTAGAATACTCAGAGAGGAAAAATCTAGGCAGGAGCTCAAGCCTTCTGCTTTTGGAAGCATTTGGAAGCAGAAGGACTCATTCTACAGAAAAAAAAAAATCAATGCAGGTGCCAAATTAATGGCAAGCACTCACATCATAACCAGTCTAGTTTCTTCTGTCACACCAGTGGACTCAGGTCAGCTTTAAGGCTTCAGCAATTGCTACTACATAGACTAAAATAGACCACTCTAAATTATTTCCTAGTGTAATTCCAGTAGGCATGCAATTTCATATTATGGATGAGCAGATGATTAGCTTCCACTGCCGAGCAGGCAAGGAGGTCTTGCTCCCAGTTCCCTCCTACCACAGTTTCAGTATCCCAGCAGAAGCCATCCTTTCCTCATACCAGCTTTGATGCTCATCTGCTTTAACATAAACTAATCCAACACTCTGAATCAGCCAAAGAAAAGTTAACATCTTGCCAGGTGGCTTTTTCTCTTTGTTGCTATTTTACTGAGTGGAATTTGGCCTCTCATGTGATCAAACAAACAACAGAATCAACTCAAAATAACTAGTGGGAGTAAAGAGCAGCAAGCTGTTCATTTGGCTCAGGCTGCCTTGTGAAACTATACATAAAACTAAAAAAAAAAACCAAACCTGAATTCTTCCAGAAGGAAGTGCTGCAACTACATATCTATAGGAACAGGAGCTTCACCTTTAATCAGTGGCCATCTTAAAACAATACATGTAAAGAAATTAGTCTCTGAGGTCTCCTGATTTTTTAAATTAAGAACCCCAGTCACTTGCACAACCACCTGACTAATGAAGAGTAGAGTTCATAAAATGGCACACACAATTGCCAATTAACACAATATACTAAATCACAGTAGCAGTTATATTTATCAGCTTAAGTGCTTTGTAATACACACACCGATATCAAATAAGGTCCAATAAAAGACTGTATTTTTGCTAAATACTCTAATTGGGGGAGGAGGAGATTCTAACTGACTGAAGAACACTTAGTACCTACTGTACAAGCTGACACTACTTTACTTATTTTTCTTCACAAAGAATGACTAGACCATTTCCTGATAGGGTCGGGGGAAAAGGGCACAAGTTTCCAGATGAAAGGTTTAAATCTGTCCAGGCAGCTTCAAAGGAGTCTGGCTATAAAAACAACGCACATCATGACAGGCATTCTCTGTCCAGCCAGCCTCCCTCTGAAAAAAATACAGCCTAAAAGCACAAGGCACACATGGAATTAGTTCCCGGTCATCTTCTTGTCAGGAGTAGCCAGCAAGTCTACAGGTGAGGAAGGTTACTCAGATAGACTTAGCCATAGCTGTTTCTTCATTTTTTCACGTGTGCTTTGTAGAGATTTGCAGCCCTGTTTTCTATTTGGGATGTTACGGATGGACACTTTCGTTATCTCTATTTTGCTTGAGAAAAATAACACAGATCAAATTAAGCACAATTTTAAGGGAACTGGGTAACATCATCAAAAGTGTGATGATGCTTAAAAAGCACCTCTTTAGGGCAGCACGTAAGGACACCTCAAAAAAATGCTTAGTTCCCCAGAATGCAAAGGAAGCAGAACCAGCCCTCAGTTCAGCTCTGTGGAGGAACTTGCCAGGTGGAATCTGGGGCAACGAAGGCCAGGAAAGGCAGAGACATCTCCCAGCACACCGTCTTAACAGAGCAAGCTCTTTACTATGCAGTGAAACAGTGTGGTGCACATTTCAACAGCACAAACCATGGCAGCGTGGCACTGCGAGGCATAACGCGAGTGCTGGTATACTGAAGACAGTGAATCCAACAATGATAACAAACATTATCCAAAACCAGTCTGATGCCAGTGATCCCCGGCATGTATGTTGAAACCTGCAGAAAAGGTGTTGTAAGGTGCATGACTCAGAAGGCTGCCTTTCACTCCAGATTTTAGCACTTCTCTGGAATCAGCATGGAAGGAAAACCCACGGAAGGAACACTTTAACTCCAAGGCGTTTCCGACAGAAGTTCCCCAAGCTTACTGTGCAGGCGACAGTCCAAAACCATACTGCTCCGTAAGACGCAGTTCAACAGCACCACGTCAACCCTCTCGCTGAGCACGACGAAAGCTCACTTAAGAGGGAGTATGGCAGGAAGGGCCTGGGTTTAGTACAACCTCCCTCTGACCGCCCTATTTCACACAGCGCATCTTCAGAGCGCCAGCGGGCCAGCA